GGTGGACGCCGAGGCCAGTGCCGGGGTCTTCAAAGCCATCCCTCATCCTGCTGTACGCTGGGAAGGATGATGCGGGGGCCCTGGATGCCTACCTCCATGCCTACAACCCGGCCTTCTCGGAGTACATTTGGGCGGTGGATATCAGGAGAAAGGGTGGAGACCTGGGCCAGGACATGCTGGGCGAGGAGCCTTACTCGACGATGTGCTCCATGGCCATGGCGGGTAAGGTCGCATTGGTGGGAGGTGGCCCCAACTGCAGGACGTGGAGCATCCTCAGGTGGTTCCCCAAACCGGGTGGCCCGCCGCCGGTGAGGGGCAGAGCAGAGCAGACCTTGTGGGGCTTAGAGGACTTGGAGCCCCGGGTTAGGGAGGACACGGACAATGACAGCGTGCTCATGCTCCGACAGATGTACCTGACCTCGCTGGCCTACAAGGGGCTAGGTCAGCTAACGGTCCCGCAGGTTGGCTCCTCCTTCCTGGAGCACCCGATGGACCCGATGGAGTGCAGCAAGAGCCCGAGCGCAGCGAGGTGCTCATCGATCTGGGTCACGCGGGCCTACGTTCAATGGGCGAGTGCACTCCACCACTCCCTCATCAAGTTCGATGAGTGCCGCCTGGGCCAGGTGGTTGTGAAGTCCACGGCGTTGTCAACGGACCTTCCTCTCCACCATTGGCATGACCTGCGTTGCAACCACGGGTCTCACCCCAGGGGAGAAAAGCTCAACTCCAGTGACCTCAGCCGGTACCCGGAGCAGATGATGCAGGGTCTCGCAGCGGCCATCCTTTGCCGAGCGGGACCCGTCCTGGAGGCGCTGAGGCCGGGAGGCATGGCGCCCCAGGCTAACCCAACGACCCCCCCGAGGCGTCCAAGGGAACCTTCTCCCAGCACGCCGGGGGACAACAAGCGCCAGTCCCGAAGGCTGAAGGCGGGCCAACAAGCGTTGGCAGGTCTGACCTTGGGCTCACTTCCGGTCTCGGCCTCGGATAATCCAGAGGCGGGGACATCGACACAGAGGACTGGCGAGGTGGATGAACTTGGGGGGGGAACTCTTCCCCTGGATCCATGGGCACACCAGGGCATGGAGATCTCGGATCGGCCCACCATCCTGCCGATCACGCACGACCCCAATATCATGTACCTCCAGATGGCTTTCAAGCAGCGTCCCTTAAGAGACGGTGGAGGAAAGCCCTCATTGGGACGGTTGGCCCCGTGGGCCCGACCGCTGTCCAAAGCAGCGGCGCTGGGGGCCAAGATCTGTGTCCTCACTTCGCCGTGGGGGGACAAGCTCCAGGAGTCGCTCTCGTTGGGGGATGGGTCACATCCCTTCCCGGAGGACCTGCTGGAGGACATCAGGGAGATTCTGGCGCCGGGGGCAGGCCGACCAGCGGACGGCCAACCCTTCTTCCTGGACATCTTGCACAGCGTGGCGCTGAACATTCAGGACCCCGACCACCAGTTTCCCCGGGACCTGGAGCAAGGGGTCCCACTGGGGGTCACGGACCCACCCCTGACCTCGCCGGGCATCTGGCCACTCAAGAAGGAGCTGAAAGGGGAGGAGCCGGAGTTCCAGGAACTCCCCCACCCAACGGGCAGGGGCAACTACCCCTCGGCGGATCACTTCAGCGATCTCATCCGGGGCACATTTCTGGAGGAGGTCCCCATGGGCATGGTGGAGGGCCCCTTCAGTAAGGAGGAGGCAGCATCGCGATGTGGCTGCGACAGCGAGGACCTTTGTCCCGGCCCCCTAGCGGGCATCGACGAGGGGGACAAGATCCGCACGATCTACGATGGCTCGGTGGGAGGGGCCAATGACACCATCAGGAACCAGACGGTGGAAAGGACGACGGCTCCGACGGTGCTGGATGGGGTTCAAGCTCTCCATTGGCTACATGCGGCAGCTGCGGAGGGACCCCCCTCTCAGGGTGCCTCTGGCCCCGAGGGGGGGACTGTCAAACCTCCACCTGGGGGCTGGCTATGGCCGGAGCCGGGCACCAGGTGGGTGCTGCTCAAGGCGGACGTCACCAAGGCCCACCGGAGAGTGAAGGTCCTCAGGAAGGACTGGCGGTTCCAGGTGGCCTCACTGGGGGAAGAATGGTGGGTGAACAAGGTAGGCACATATGGCATGGCCAGTGCCCAATCCTACTGGGGACGCCTGGCAGCCCTTCTGCTCAGGGTCCTCTACGCACTTTTCCCTCAAGTGGATTGGAACTTCGTCTTCGTCGACGACTTCCTGTGGCTGCTTCGAAGCGAGGGGGCAGTGAACTTGGCGGTGGCGCTGCTGGCCACACTCCTGGCATTGGGCACCCCACTTAGCTGGAAGAAGACGCACTTGGCGGAGGTTAACACGTGGCTGGGCTTCGTGGTCCACCCGAACATCCCGCAGGTTCTCATGGCAGCCAACAAACACATCCTGGTCATGGAGGTTTTGCAGACCATGGTGGAAGGGCAGGCGATGCACTCAAAGGACATCGAGAAGGCCCTGGGCCGCATCCAATGGGCAACGGCTGCATGTCCGCTGGCGAAGTCGATGCTCCAGCCACTTTGGGCCTGGAAGATGGCCACCACCACGGTGGGGAAACCCCCCAAGGTGGTCAGGATGCTGGCGTTCATGCTGCGGTTCCTCTTCAACACGCCTTTCGTCCAGTACTCCCCCTACTTGCCGAAGTCCTCTTGGTGGGGTTGCAGCGACGCTAGCGCCTCGGACGACGGACTGGCATTTGTGGGAGGTTGGTGCTCCAACACAGTGGAACCGGACAAGAAGGAGGTGTACTGGTTCCATGAGCAGATCCACGTGGAGGAGTACCCTTGGGCTTTCAAGAATGGGGATCCAAAGCGGAGGATTGCAGCTCTGGAGATGCTGGGCACGCTCTTCCTCTGTAACATGATCCTCACGCACCAAGGCCCTCTGTCCTCCCGGGTCCGACTCCCGGTGGGCAGTGACAATCAGGGCAACGTCATGGCGATGCTCAACCTTGGATCCAAGAAGCCCTACACGGCGGCGATCCTGATGGAGCTGGTCTTCCTGCTCCACACCCATGGCTGCTCGCTGGCGGCCAACCATGTGCCCCGTGAATTCAATCAATGGGCTGATGAGCTGACGCACCCGGATTTCTCTGGGTTCGACCCTTTACAAAGGGTCCCCAAGCAGGAACTCTGTGAGGAGTTTGTTTTTCTCCCGCGTCTCCTGAATGGAGATGCATTTGATCTCAGCGTGGGCCCACCCATGCTCCCGTGACCGGAGCCGGTGGGTGACTCACTTCCCCTGGTGGCAGACCCCCCTGTGTGTGGCCTGGGTGCCACGGGCCCCGGCTCAGGGGCGGGCGCTATCAGTCTGCACACCCGTTCTTCAGTTTTTGAGAATTGTGAGTTGGGTGGCCCATGGGGCCCACCCAGCGTTGGTCATCTGACAGGGGAAGATGAGTCCCTGGCACCAACACACTGCTCGGATGAAAGAGTTATCGCGTGCTCGTGTGTGGTGCCGTTTGGTTAGCTTGCATACACTGTAGAATATTTTTGTTGCTCTTGTTGGTGAGTAGAAGCCAACTAAAAGATGCAGCTTTTGCAGCAAACTGTGGGATGTCCTTATTGTTTCCTCTCCCTTTGGCCACTGACAACCGGGGCCTCAGACTTTGGGAAACTTAGATCACCGTTTGGCCTCCACGATCCAAATGGGTCTGTTTCTTTTGGAGTTGGTACCCTTGATGGCGGTTTCAAAGGGAAAAGGAGCACTTCGGGGCGTCTCCCCCCAAAAAACCGACACCCACATCCCACTGGCATGGCCTGTCCGTGGGCATGTGGCCAAGAGGCCCAACGAACACACCTGTCCGTGTGCAACTAGGCCAAATTGCAGAAGGCCTTGAAAAGACCTCTTTGTCCTGTCGTTTTTTCACCGTGTCCTTTCCTTTTTCTTCACCTTTGCTTCCTCTTCCCTTCCCTTTCCCTCTTTTCCTTTTGTCTGGACTCAGCAGTTTCGGCTGTCAGGACCGGGTGGCGCGCGCCAAAGCCAACCGCGGCAAGGGCACGACCAAGGGCAAGAAGAGCGAGGGCAAGTTCGGGAAGATTTACTGGGAGCGAGTGAGGTGAGCGCCGGGGTGAAAGTTGGCAAAGCTGCTCCCAGTGAGAGGAAACCAGGGCAGTTCTATCAATTACTGGGTTCTACGTATGTTTTTTTCTGACCTACAAAAATGATGCCTGGAAGCGGTTGAAATTGAGATGAGACCTGCTCCCACTTATGGACTACGAAGACCAGGCTGCCAGATTGCGCCATGGGTGGGTCGCCGCTGGCTCCCTACGCTGGTACTCGGAACTGGGAGCTCAGATCATCGATGCCAGCGGAGATGGGATGCGACGTACCAGAAAAATTGAATGCACTGCCAGATGCGAGCCTTATGTGTCAGAATAGCCCAGTGGTTCCCGTGGTTTCCGACTAGGGAAATGGAATCGCTGGGTAAGGGTACCACCAAAATTTTGTGTAGTTGTCCAATTTGTTCAGGGTACCCTGACAAAACGGATCCACGATTTGCCAACACACAACTTGATCCCAGTGGCAACCAGCGGACTTCAGGCCTTATTCTCCTTGGTTGACCCTCGTGGCAACACAAACATGCAACACCCGCTGAAGTAAAGCAGCGACTCTTTCAAAATAATGGTGCATTTTTAAAGAAGGGCAGGCTTGACCTGCTTGCGATGTGGATGGCAGTTTGCCAGCACCACTGACTCACTCCCCTTTTCTCCCCCAGTTACACTTTACCCTTGGGGAAGGTCATTTGCGAAGTAAACACTTTTAGCAGCTTCTTTTCACAACTCGGTTCATTTGCGCATGTTGAACTGTTCGCCGGTGAGGAGTTCAACAATGGGCCCCGGGGCCATGGTATCAACCGCAATCTTGCTACCTGAGGTCCCGGCTTTGATGCCTTTTTGGAAGGCCTTTCTGGTAGTAAGAATAAAGAGTGCAGCCTTTTCCTTTGAGCGCAAAGGAGATCGCGCTGAACATCTTGCC